TCCATCCCCCACCCCCACCCGGCAGCAGCCACTTACCTGCCTGCTGGCCTGGGACTCGCAACTCCCTGCTGGCTTCCCCACTGCATTTGGTTGTGGGAAGCTGGCAGGAAATTGCCTCGCTCAATGTTAACAACATCATCAGTTAACGACAGCAGTTAATTATGGCAACCAGGAGTGCAGGGATTGCCATCACTAAGTGATGTAGTTGTGTTTTACGCCTACATCACTTAATGATGGAAATCTGGCCCCAATTGTTGTTGTAAGTTGAGGACTACCTGTAGCAAACTATTGTCATATTGTTGCCAATAAAATTATACAGATCTGTCCATGAAATTCAAGAACACTTTGACTTGAGAGTATTGTTGCCTACTTATGGAAATTGTAGCTTCATGAAGGAACTATACACATTTGCAAACAAACTATACACATCTGCAAAGCCAGATTAAGGATATAATGCAAATGCCTGATTTCAGTTGCCATACTAATTAGATATAAGATGTCCTTTGGTGACATAACTCAATCTTGGGGCCTACAAAGAGGAAACCAAAACAAGGGATATTTACTCTTAACATATCTTGCATTTGGTTGACTCATGAATAAACAGAGAGGCCCAACATCAATAGTATAACCTTCTATCACTAATGTAACTTTGCAGGAATAAGGAAATACTTTTAGAACCAATAACCGTCCCTTACATAATCTGCAAACTGTCCTGTTGTAGTACAAAATGCCTCTGGAATTGGACTGCCTGCAAAAGTAGTATCTCTAAGTTCATAGATGAACTTTCATGTATAGAAGCTTCATAATTAAGGAGTTATGTGATTAAAAAGTGCTCAGGCAAAGCAGTAGGGGGATATTCATGTAATTGCGACATTTCTATTTAGTTTCACATTTCGTATTTTCCTTCTCAAGTTGTACCCCACTTTGTTTAACCATGGCAAAAACATGCCCATTCTAAAAGTCACCAAACTGGAAATAGAGACTTACCCTTGATTGCTTTTACCTTTGACTTCAATGAAACTGTCCAGGTCACAGCTTATTTAGGAATGAAACAAAATTAGTAGAAGGAAGTACAGAGATTTCAATGATTATTTAGCAGAATGGGTTTTAATTTCTTTTAATATATTTGTTTTAATATTCAAATTATAATGCTTTATTTTATAAGTATTTTATTATTACTTAACGTGGAACATTGTTAAGTTTATATTCCATCTTTTCACCAAAAACAATCTATCATAAACATGGATCATAGTTACAATGCATTTGGAAGGGAAGACTATGTATGTTCAGTGAAAGTTTGATTTATTGGATCTCAGTATAATTAACTTTGGATGCAATGGATCTTCTACAATGATTTACAACATTTGCAAAATGATAACATTATGCAAATGACATATTATGACAAATGGTACAATATTTTTTTGTCCATTTACGGTCCTTCACATAATGAAATCATGTAAATGATGTAAATCACCCCAATGATACATTTTCATATTTAAAAGACATTTGCGAATAACTCACTGACTTTTATGTTAAAAAAGTCCATTAAAATAAGGTTTCATTTGTATATATTAACAATTCAGTAAGAAACTACAGCATTTGCAACTTCATGAAGGAATTGCCTGATAAAACAACTATCTCCATACTAATATTTGATTCTCTTTTTTAAAAGCGTGAGATGATTTAAATGTTTTCAAAACTAGATTCGGAAAGGTAATGTAGATTCCTGATTCAACTGTACAACTTACTTTGTGCCTTCCTGGTTTGATATAGGATTCACCTTGATGAGATCCTCCAGGTCCTGACATCCACTAAAAACAAAGTAGTTTATTCTTCATATAGTTTGAATTTTAGCCAATACAGAGACAAAGCAGGGGGAACGACTACTCCATAAAGGCTATGGTTTGATCTCACTATCATTAGAGTAACTTTGCATGAGTAAGAAAGTGTTTTAGGTGTGTGGATAATCTGCACACTGAGGAGGAGGAGTAGAAACCTCTGCTAGGGGGAAGCCCTGTAAAATAACAGGCAGCTATCACATTGATATGGTATGAAATATTGCTGATAAGGAAGTTTGATAATAAATAGTTGCATAATGCATGCTTTGGTATTTGGGAATTGAGTAGTAGAGCCAGAAAACTTTCATATCATGATATTCTATGTTTTCTTTCTAGATACTGAACTGGAACTGAAATAGACACTAAACCTTGATCAGTTTCATCTTTGACTTCAGTGGAAAGTGTCCAGATTATGGCTTCTTTAGAAACGAAAGTAGAAAGATAATTTAATTAAGAATATTGTGTTTTCATTGCTTTTAATAAATCAATTACAATCTTGGATTTATCTGCATTTTTTGTTAGCCAATTTAAAGAGGGAGAGAGGGAGGAATCCCAAGTATCACGAAAAAAGTGTTTATTTGGCTTGCCACATTTCAGAAAATATTCCTTCTTCAACAGCACTGTACACAGGTAGTCCTTGCTTAACAACCACAACTGGGGCTGGAATTTAGGTCACTAAGCAATGTGGTCATTAAGCAAATTATCACATGACCGCTTTGTTTAGCAACAGCAACTCCAGTAGTCCCAGTTGCTGTCATTAAGTGAACGCCCCATCATTAGGCGAAGCAACTTCCTGCCAGCTTCCCACAATTAAGTCAGTGGGGAAGCCAACAGGAAGTTGCAAGCCCCAGGAGCTGCTGGGTGGGGGAGGGAGTGAGGGAATGTGTGGGAGGGTCAGTGAGGGTGTGCAGAGGTGCGGTGCGGGTCAGGTGTGCAGGGGCCTCAGAAACACTTGGATTTTCAGCCCCAGAGTGAAGAGACTTCTGAAGCCTCTCCACTGAGGCTGAAAATCCCACTTGGATTTTGGCACAGAGCTTTTTCAGCCAGCCCCCAGAGACGAGAGGGAGTCCTCTCGGCAGGCGACAGTGGCTTGCAATTGCCAAGCGCCCCTCAATCCTGTGATTGCAATTTTTAATCTTCTCTGCCAGCTTCCCCAGAAAGTCAATGGGGAAGCCAGCAGGGAAGGTTGCAAGCTGCTGCCACCTGCTGAGAGGACTCCCTCTCGACTCCGGGGCCGCGGTCGTGAAAAAGCAGGGGGCACTGTATCACAATGGATATAGGCGAACAGTATGATAACA